TAGGAGCAGAACACCAGCACATAATTATAAGCCATGTTCCCTGATCACCTCCTTGTCTTCGGAGCACCACCAGTTGGGACCACTTTTCCCCATGTATACTAAGTCCACAGCATTGAGCTTTCATCATCGAGTATAATGAAAGTACCCTCATTATTATATTAATCTCTCTGAGTGTCCCCACCAAAGCTCTGCCCCACCAGGCAATGCTCCCATATGGCACACTTGTAAGCTGGTTGTAATGCTGGATTTAGTAAGTTAGTGGCCAGCCCAGTCTAGAGGGAAAGGTTTAACTTGTGTATGCTCAGTTCCTGGGCTTTTGGGTCTCAGCCAACCCACCTGTGATACAAAAAAGGGGAAGGCTGAGATCCAGGGGCTATTTTACCACTATTGGTTTGACTCGTGAAAGGGACTGCTGCACCTTGCAGCCCTCTGAAGACTTCGGGGATTCCGTAGGACAGCCAGCAATGGAAACTATCCGCATGGACTGCCTGGGCAGCCGCACAACTGTAGCTGAGGTTAGGAATTGACTTGTTCATGTTGGACTGTAATGTTAAGTAAAGTTACATTAACTGTTCTGAGCCTGGTCTGAAGTTATTCAAATGAACCTCCCCACCCACAGCCCTATTAAGAACCCTTGGACAGCAACCCACTATATCTGTGATATACTTGCTGTTTGAACATCATTGTCATTGCCTAACTGTTCCTATGGAATTGTTGGACATCTGCTGTTCTACATAAATAAAGAATTTGCAAAATAAAAGAAATAGAGACTCTGGGATTTAACAGCTGAATGGCAATGGGAGTGACTTATCACTGGAAGGGGGATGGGCTTAATCTTGACTTGCAGAAAATTCAGGACCCTATGTATAGGGCCAGTGCTACCACTAGGCAAACTAGACAACTGCATATGGTGCACTGCCGCCTAGGAGTGCAGCCACGGCCACTGGTGTCCCTACTCAATGCCATGTCCCGATCTAGGGGGGTCTTGGGATGGGCTTTGGGCGGATTTGAGTAAGGTGGATTTATGCTGGGAAGGGTAATTTGAAGGGGTTTTAGCTAGAGGAGGGATTTGGGGGAATTTGTCCTAGGTGGGGGGATTAAAGGAAGATGCTGGGAGGGAGGATTGGGGGATTGGTGCTAGGAGGGGGACAGGGGGGATTTGTGCATGGAGAGGGGATTGGGGGGATTTGTTTTAGGAAAGAGGATGGGGGGGATTTGTGTTAGGAGAGGATTGGAGGGGGGAAGATTTGTGTTAAGATGGGGAATGTGTGCTAGGAGGGGGGATTGGGGAATTTGTGCTAAGAGAGGGGATTGGAAGAGGGATTGTGAGAGAAGGGAGGATTGGGGGAGTTATGCTAGGAGGATGGATTGGGGGTGTGTGCTAAGAGGGGGGATTTGGGGGGAATTTGTGCTAGGCAAGTGGGATTGGGGGGGGACTTGTGTTAGGAGAGGGATTGGGGGAGATGTGCTTGGAAGGGGGATTTGTGCTAGGATAAGGGATTTGGGTGGGGAGGAAGGATTTGTGCTGGGAAGTGTAATTTGGAGGGGGTTGTGCTAGTAGGTGGGACTGGGGGGATTTATGCTAGGAGGGAGGATTTGGGGGACAGGATTTGTGCTAGGGTGTAAAATTTGAGGGGAAATAGGATTTGTGCTAGGAGGGGTGGAGTAAACCTATAGGTGAAGTTTTTTTTTTATTGGGGGGGGTGCATGTAGCTGGTCTTGCTTAGGGCGCAAAATAGTCTAGCACCGGCCCTGCCTGTGTATATCCGATGCCTAGGATTCCACATGGATGGAACTAAAGTTCTTACAGGTTCCACAAGGATTCACAATGTAAAAGAATGGAAGGGCCACTGCTACTAACTTTTTCAATAAAACTTAATTATCTACTGAGCAACAACATCCTGCCTGACACAGGCCCTCCTCTGATATATTTTGACCTAACACAGGGATTAATTGTGAAGGCCTCTAGGATTAATTCCTGTTCTAGGCTGAAATGTGTTGGAAAAAGTGCTTCTGTCCATTTTCATGCTATTGCTTAATGGATAATCAAGTTTTTTTTAAAAATAAATAGCAGTGGTGCGCCCATTCTTGTAAATAGTGAATGCGATTTAGGAGTGTGACATATGCCCCTGGGCCTTGAGCACCCACAACTGGTCAGATTATAAGCACATCCTGTTAGCCTAAAAGCGGAGCACAGTTGTATCCCTGAGGGACGAGAGACTAAGACTAAGGAAGACTAATACAAGTACTTGCAGGCTATAAAGCAGCCTTTTTTTTTTTGTCAAGGAGGAAACTTTGAAACCATTTTCGATTCTTGGGGAACCCTTGCTTAAATTATATCTGCAACTCAAAGTACATTAGTGTGATCAGGATTTTGTATACCGTTGTTCAGTAAGGAAATGTTTCCTTAATTTACCAGTTAGTAGAGAAGTGCCCAGTTTGTTACTTTGGTGGTCAGTGGGAGGCCATAGACAGTTCAAATCTTGCCCGGTTCACCAGGGACCTGCCAAGAATCGATCCATATATGGGCAGGCTGAATGTTCCCAAGTTGATTGCTCATTCAACTTGGGTACAATCAGCCTGACGGATTTTACACGCGATTATTGCTAGTGGCTATTATAGCCGCTAGCAGATATTACTGCGTTCTCCCTGCCAGGACAAGACAATACCTCCACGGGAAGGATTCCTTCATCAACGTTGACTGTGTGGATGGGGGAAGCAAGAAATTTTCTTTCCTGTCAATTTGTGGTTGCAGGAAAGAAAATCGCTCCATCTATGGCTAGCTTTAGACTGGCTATTAGTGGTAGAATAACCTTTCCTTGCAGAGACATCATTGGTATCAGTTACTTACTTGAAAAGATGAGATGGTCTACTGATCCCATGCCAATGGCTCAACCAAGTGAGGTTGGTACTGGAACCATGCTGGCACCATCAGGTAGAAGATCAGTTCTTGAGTGCCCAAGGAACCCCTAGTCACTTTTGGAGGACCCTAGTTTTCCACAGAACCATGTTTAGAAAAGGCTGCTCTACATGGTTAAGCTGGCCATGCACGTATAGATTTCTCAATCCAAGCTAAACAGTGCGGATGGACAAGTCTTCCCTGCTGGATATTGTATTCTGAGAGCCAGCACCTGAAACTACCTGAATCTGACTGGAATTTTCCACCTGGTTCCTCCAACAAAAATTGATTCAACAATGCCAACAAGGCTTGATTTCTTGCCGATTCAGATAGAAATTATTAAAATTCAAGCCATGTATGGCTTCACTTTTTTTCTTTTTTACTGAGCTCCACAGTGCAGTGCTTGTCAAACACCTGTGAACAAAAAAAGTAAAATCACAGCACACAAATACGTGCACAAGGGTATAGTAATGCCTAGAGCCTCAAACCATGAACCCACCAGGGCGCAAGGCCCTGACAAGGGCAAGGAACTCTGTGGTCTACATGGACCAAAGCCAGGTGGACCCAAGCCAGGTGGACCCAACGGTTCCTCCAAATACTTCAAAAAGGAACCTCCGTTGGGAAGATGAAAAAGACCTGAAGGCAGGGGCGGACTGACCATTTGGAAAGTCGGGCACTGCCCGAGGGCCCGGGGTCAGTAGGGGGCCCCATGAGATGCCCCTGGTACCTTTTTCATAGGCTTTTTTGAGTTTGGGCAAGGATACAGTGGCCCCATGATCCCCTATTGCCCGGGGGCCCATGAGTTGTCAGTCCACCCCTGCCTGAAAGCCACAGATCCTCCCACCAATATCAAGACATGCCCCTATAACCTGCACCCTCCATCTATTTTAGTGAAAAATAAAAACCTTTACCTTGCACCAAGACAAGTTCACTTTAACTTAATGATTATAAATGAACATATACTGAATGATATATATATATTCAAACTGATTTGAAGCAGAACTCCATGTAAATGTTTTGCTCATTTTGTCCAAGGGTTTAGGGAAGAACTATACTTACACTGCCCTCCGTTCCTCCAGAAAACCAAGCTCCCCCATGTCCAGCAGTAGACTATTCCTGCTGTCCTCATGCTCAGAGCCGATCTATGAGCGTGATGATGTCAGGAACAGTCCATTGACAAGACCGCTACCGTGCAAGGGGGCAGAAGCGGCAGGGTTCGGTCTTGTACTCCAAGGTTTGGCGGATTCTGTAAGTATATATTCATTGTTATCACCCTTAGACAAAAATGAGCAGTTAGCCCATGCAGTGCAGGTACAGCCCCACTGCATAGTTAAAAAAAAGTTGCCTGGATTTCTGATTTAACTTATGGTAATTTTATGTTGTATATCTCCGTTATTGTATTTGTAGATTCTCCCTTAGCTTTCTGAATTTTAGAGCTAACACTTATCCATCCAGATCCTTCCTGGTGAAAAGTTACTCATATAAATCCTCAGGTAGATTGGTACTGAGAGGCTACAATAGGCAAACCATACGGCGGCAGAATACAAAGCAGCCTGCATATGCAATGAGCAAATATGTCCGGCTTCATATATAGTTATAACCTAGACATAAATACAAGTTATGTAACACCTGAGTACACATTGATAATACTATTTATTCTCATGTCAATTGCAGTAGAATGCTCATGTAGAACTACAAAAAGACTATAATTTCCCTGTAACCCTTCCTCTGCTATCAGTATGTCAAACACTGGCGGCAGCAGGGGGTTTTCCATACATTCATGGCTGCTACAGCGTGTAAATCTGACAGCTTTATGTCCACTTCCACAGAGCCCCCTGAGCAGGAGCAAGTCCCCCGCCATTTTATTTGGCTCCACTATCCCACTTGTTAGCCCTGGACCTGCATGGTGGGTGTCTCCGGGTAGAGGGGAGGGAGACCAGCGAAAGAATATTCACTGATCTCCCCTACTTAGTAGAACCCCAGAAACAACATGCATACATCACTTCTGGGTTCTATTGTCACTTTTCCTGGCCACTGTGTTTGGTAGAAAGAGCTAATGGATCATGAGCTGCACTCCATTCGTTTCAGCGGAGTGCAGGGAAGACAGTAGGGGTCTAAAAGACATTTGATGTTTCATTAATGAAAGCTGCTATCATGCTATCATATAGGGGGCTATTGGTCCCCTATGTGAATGCAGTAATGGTCAAGTGGTTGTAAACGCTCCAGAAGGCAGGGGCCAGGAGTCTGATGTCATACACTGTAGATCACACAGCACAGAGCAAGCTGTGGGCAATCTGACACTAACTGACACTTTGTGGGAAATGGCTAATTGACACTGACATCACCTGTGACACTAACACAGTGATCAGTGCTACTACTATACACTGTCACTGTACTAATGACACTGGCTGGGAAGGAGTTAACATCTAGAGGCAATCAAAGGGTTAACTGTGGTGCCTAACAGTGTGCAATATGTGCTGTTTTTACTAAGAGATGTGACTGTATTTACTCCATGCTTTTCATGGAGAAAAAAAAAAACAGCCACATTGCTGCTCTCCGTAGAAAGCCCTGTGTTGTTTACCAACATAGGTCTCTCTTTTGTCTTTCACTCAACCGTTCAGCGGGTATTGGCCGTAAATCATTGGCCGGGACCAGGGGCGAACTGACCCGAGGGCCCAGGGTCAGTAGGGGGCCCCATGAGATGCCCTGGTACCTTTTTCATAGTCTTTTTTTTGAGTTTGGGCAAGGACACAAGTGCCCTATGATCTCCTATTGCCCGGGGGCCCCATGAGTTGTCAGTCCGCTCCTGGCCGGGACCCACTGATTCGCTTGTGCTGTAGCAAATGAAAGTCTGGGCAGTGAGCGTGTGTGCCCCCTACCAATAAAGGCTGGATCATGTATATATATATATATATATATATATATATAAATACTGTATAATAATAATATATATACTATATATATATATATATATATATATACACACAGGTGACACTCAAAAAAAATTTGAATATCATGCAAAAGTTCATTTATTTCAGTAATGCAACTTAAAAGGTGAAACTAATATATGAGATAGACTCATTACATGCAAAGCAAGATAGTTCAAGCCGTGATTTGTCATCATTGTGATGATTATGGCTTACAGCTCATGAAAACCCCAAATCCACAATCTCAGAAAAAAGTTTAAAAAATCATTTTAGGGCTTGAAGATTACACAAACCATTATATATTTTCTGAAAGCAGAGACCCTAGAGCATAAAATAGAGGTAGTTTTAATTTTTCATGTCGCATGATATTACCGATATTACAGCAAAATTTCAGTAAAAAATACACTTAAGTTAATTTTAGGGCACAAAAAAGTAATAAATGACCCGATTTTTGTGTAACATGTAAAAGATGAGGTTGCAGCGAGTAAATAGATATCCAACATGTCAAACCTTAAATTTACATGTGATTGTGAAATGGCGACGAACTTCAGTACCCTATATTTTCTATAGGCAACACTTTATGCCCCTTAAAGGTAATCAGTATAGTGTTATGGAGGAGTTCTGGTGCTAAAATGATTGTTCTCATTCAGCTGTGCGTGGTGATATGCAACATGTGTATCGCAATCAACGTTTTTTATGCATAGGCACCCCAGCATGTGCTTTTACGTTTGTACATGCATATATGTGGGGGGGGGGGCGCTCAATTATTTTTTTTGATGGGAGGTTATGTGCTTGGCTGTAACTTTTACAATCAAAAAAAGTCCCTTATGTGATGATTTTTGGTGACAGGTTCTCTTTATTGAGACATCCAAGGTCTAAAAGACCCTGGATGTCTCTCCTGTGTTCCATTGGATGTAATGCATTGCAGTTCACACTGCATTACATTCTCTCAGCCTCGATGGCCGGGAATCTGTCTCATAACATCATAACGTCACTTCCGGGTCAGAACAAGAAGGGGAGGGGAGCGGACGCGTGGGGTAAAGGCTGACACTGCAGGCTGTGTGAAAGCAATCATGTAGCAGCGCAGTTGCCCGAATGCTTTCACCTGACAGGTGAGCCCTGCTGCTTGCCCACAGCAGGGCTAAAGGTTAAAAAAAACTACCTGCCAAGCACCCAGAGCTGCATGTCCCGGGCATTGGGCGATATAAATTCAACATTCCTGTGTGTGTGTATATATATATAATATATATAGATATATATATATATATATGCCAATAGTATTGGGCTGCCTGCTTTTACACACATGAACTTTAATGGCATCCCGGTCTTAGTCCGTAGGGTTCAATATTGAGTTGGCCCGCCCTTTGCAGCTATAACAGCTTCAACTCTTCTGGGAAGGCTGTCCACAAGGTTTAGGAGGGTGTCTATGGGAAGGTTTGACCATTCTTCCAGAAGCACATTTGTCAGGTCAGGCACTGATGTCGGACGAGAAGGCCTGGCTCTCAGTCTCCACTCTAATTTACCCCAAAGGTGTTCTATCGGGTTGAGGTCAGGACTCTGTGCAGGCCAGTCAAGTTCCTCTACCCCAAACTGGCTCATCCATGTCTTTATGGACCTTGTTTTGTGCACTGGTGTGCAGTCATGTTGGAACAGGAAGGGGCCAACCCCAAACTGTTCCCACAAAGATGGGAGCATGAAATTGTCCAAAATGTCTTGGTATGCTGAAGCCTTAGAAATGTCCGCCACTGGAACAAAGGGGCCAAGCCCAACCCCTGAAAAAAAAACCCACACCATAATCCCCCCCTCCACCAAACTTTACACTTGGCACAATGCAGTCAAGAAAGTGCCGTTCTCCTGGCAACTACCAAACCCAGGCATGTCCATCAGATTGCCAGACACAGAAGTGTGATTGGTCACTCCAGAGAACACGTCTCCATTGCTCTAGAGTCCAGTGGCGGCGTGCTTTAAACCACTGTATCCAACACTTTGCATTGCACTTGTAAGGCTTGGATGCAGCTGCTCGGCCATGGAAATCCATTCCATGAAGCTCTCTATGCACTGTTGTTGTGCTAATCTGAAGGCCACACAAAGTTTGGAAGTCTTTAGCTATTGACTCTGCAGACAGTTGGCAACTTCTGCGCACTGTGTGCTTCAGCATGTGCTGACCCCGCTCTGCCATTTTATGTGGCCTACCACTTGCTGGCTGAGTTGCTATTGTTCCCAGTTGCTTCCACTTTGTTATAATCCCACTAACAGTTGACCGTGGAATATTTAGTAGCAAGGAAATATCACGGATGGACTTATTGCACAGGTGGCCACCTATTATGGTACCACGCTTGAATTCACTGAGCTCCTGAGAGAAACATATTCTTTCACAAATGTTTGTAGAAGCAGTCTGCATGCCTAAAGGCTTGATTGTATACACCTGCGGCCATGGAGGTGATTTGAACACCTGAATCCAATGATTTAGAGGGGTGTCCCAATACATTTGGCAATATAGTGTATATATACAGTATATAGCCGTGGAGAATGTTATGCTGTCTGTAACATCGTTCAGCATGATCGTTTTGGTGGTGTGTCAGTGATTGTCTGTGGAGGCATATCCATGGAGGGACGCACAGACCTCTACAGGCTAGACAATGGTACCCTGACTGCCATTAGATATCAGAATGAAATCCTTGGACCCATTGTCAGACTCTACGCTGGTGCAGTGGGTCCTGGGTTCCTCCTGGTGCATGACAATGCCCGGCCACATGTAGTGAGAATATGCAGGAAGTTCCTGGAGGATGATGGAATTGATACCATTGAATGGCCCCCATGCTCACCTGACCTAAATCCAACAGAACACCTCTGGGATATCATGTTTCGGTCCATCCGACACCGCCAGGTTGCATTTCAGACTGTCCAGGAGCTCAGTGATGCCCTGGTCCAGATCTGGGAGGAAATACCCCAGGACACCATTCATCATCTCATTAGGAGCATGACCCGATGTTGTCAGGCATGCATACAAGCACTTGTGGGCCATACAAACCACCAAGTACCACTAAGTTTTGGGTTGCTGCAATGAAATTTCAGCAAAATGGACTAGCCTGCTGCATCATTTTTTCACTTTGTTTTGAATTCTTTGAATTCAGTCCTCTGTAGGTCGATCATTTTCATTTCCATCAAACAATGGGGCATCTTTATGTTCCTAACACATTATCCAGTCCATATCAGTATACAGTAGATATCCAGCATGATATTTTTCCCCATTGAGATCTGATGTGTTTTCATATAGTTCCCTTAATTTCTTTTCAGCAGTGTATGTGTATATATATATATATATATATACATACATAAAAAATATATATATATATATATATATATATATATATATATATATATATATATATATATATATATATATATATATATATATATATATATATATATATATATATATACATAGTACGTGATGCTGGCCACACTGTAGTAGTTAAGCTACAGGAGGTGGTACTGAACTGGTTTATATGAGATTTTGATTATTGGATTTACTTGTTATTATTAATAATATTATATACTTTAATATAAAGACATTATTGATCAATAAATCTTGATGAAGCCATACACAAATTAATATGAGAAGCTTTTATTTAAATTTCAGGACTCTTCTTTGGAAATATTGATCAATCACATTCCGTGTTCATAAATAACATAAAGCATATAAAAAAGATCTAGTTGAACAAACAGCACCTATCTGGATGTATAATGAAACTGGCGGGGTAAACAGTGTTGGATATATCAGCAGAATAGAGCCACACACCGGTCTGCACTGTAAGTAAGGCCATACACATTGGATTCCTACTGATAAGGTACAGTGAGACTGACTGGATTTCCCTGTTCTCAGGATTTATCAGGTCCACTCGATGTAATCATTAGACAGACTTCTGCAATGAACATAATGTACAGCCGGCGGGGAAGGGGTGAGCAGCACCTCAGTTCATCTTCCTCTCTTCTCTCTGTAGGAATAAAGTGAAAAAATCAGTTTACTTTCAGAAATAATGGTATCCTAGTATCCTCAGGGACTGTTCTCGATCAGAGATGTGACTAACAATCATGGGACCCCATAAGAACATTTTGATGGTACCTACGTGGCCAAGCTGGCAATTTAAGCTGTGACAATAAGGGTTCTATTTTGCCCCAAGCTTTTATGAGATTGTAGCAATTGTGTTTACATCTACTATACTACTATAGGGCATAGACCTTCCATAGAACAGAATGGAGAGATCATTTTCTTATATTCTCCTGCATGCATTGGAGTTTAACTTTAGACACAGATTGGAGATCTATTCAGCAGGAGTGCGTCAGCCGAGCCCTTGTTGTTTTGTAATCTCTCCAGCTTTCCACCAGCCCTACAATCCAAACACTGGCAATCTAATCCTCCTACCTGTGAACAAACCATGCACAAGATTATCTCAGTGTGCAGGTGTTGTATCTGCGTGCGGTGAGCACATAGGGCGATAACCTGTCCTGCCGACCCTCCCTTCACACATAAATGTTTTCTGTACCTTGTCACACCCTTCTTGGGCTCCCCTTCAACCATCTGCGTTCCCAGGCTCAGTGGTGGCCCATTCTATAGAACAGGTATGGTGGCTGTATCTCTAGGTACAGAGTGTATGCCTGGGCAATTTAAAAAAAGTATATGCAGTGTCTTGAAAAAGTATTCATAGCCCTTGAAATTTTCCCCATTTTGTCATGTTACAACCAAAAACGTAAATGTATTTTATTGGGATTTTAAGTGATAGACCAACACAAAGTGGCACCTAATTGTGAAGTGGAAGGAAAATGATAA